GCAGTTAATTGCACTAATGCATGTCAAGTATCTTAAGTGAAGAACATACTAACAAAAGCTTAATATGTTTTATAATGTAAAAAGGGCATAACAAACTCTACTAAATTCTAGTTATGACAAAAACATTTCAGTTGTGTACATGACAGGCAGTAACAAAGAATCATAGCTTACTTGTTTGTAATAATCAACATACTTTTCTTCAAAGTCAAACTGCATATCAAAATAATACTTCATGTTTAATGGATTCTAATTGTATCCATTGTGACTGATGAATTACTATTATCAAATTTGGCAGTGGCAGATTATGTTTTCTTTATTTCACTAATAAATTTGCAGGATAATAAATTGGGTTATTAAATTATTGTGTCTCATAAGATTCAAGATTTAAAACATTTGTGCTTTGAAAAATTGCTGCAAATTGAAAACAGGAGACAGTCACGTAATGGTGGAATGGATTCGTTATTTTGTTAAACCTCCTCTTTATAAATGGTAGATTAAGTTAAGCTATTACTGCATTGAAAATGAAGAAGTGGAGCTATACATTAGAGAATTTAATTTGTGCACAAGAAAACACATAGAAATACCACCTCACACCAGTTAGAATGGCAATCATTAAAAAATCTGGAGACAACAGAGGGTAGAGAGGATCTGTGGCATTTTTTTTTAAAGATTGTTTTGTCTATTTGTGTTATTTCTTGGTTCCATGTGAATTCAGAATCGTGGTGTTTTTTTTTTTCTAATTCTTTGAAAAATGTAATTTGCCAAAATGCTTTCCATAACAACTATAATATTTTTCATTCTCAAAAGCAGTGTGTCAGAGTTTCAGCTCCTCTGCATCCTTGCATCTTTGCTAGCCCTTAATATTGTTGGGCTTTTGCCTTTTTTTTAAAGCTATTGTATTAGACATGCAGTGGTATCACATCATAGTTTTATTGGCAAGTATCTAATGACTAACAATGTTGAGCCTATTTCCATGTGTTTATTTCACATCTAATTTTTTTCTCTACTGAAGTGTCATGTAAATCACTTGCCTATTTTCATTGGGTAATTTTTTACTCTATTACTGAGATTTTAGTGTGATGTGTATATCTTGGATATAAGTCCTTTATCAGACACATGTTTTGCAAATTTTCTTCTCCCTGTCTGTGGCTTATCTGTTTTCTCAACAATGTCTTTTGAAGATCAGATTTTAATTCATTAAGTTCCATTTATCAATATTCTATTTTATGGATCACAATTTTGAATTGCATCTAGACAATTTTTGCCTAATACAAGGCCACAAAGATTTTCTACTATGTTTTCTTTTAGAAGTTTTATGGTTTTAGGTTTGGCATTTTGGTCTATCTCTGGTTTATTTTAAGTTAAATTTTTAATTTGTTGTAAGGTATGAGTCAAAATACTTTTTTTTTTTTGCATGTCAATATTCAAGTATTTTAGCATCCCTTGTTGAAAAGACTATCCTTCCTTCACTGACATACTGTTAAACATGTTGAACAGTCATGTATTGTATTTGAAGACATTCTGTATGAATTATTATAGTTTCATAGAAACCTGCAAATACAAGTAATGTTTGTTCTTTACCTTTTAAAAAAACATTTTTTTTTTTGTCTTCTGATGTTTTTACTTTGCTGTGTCTATTGTAGAATCAGTTTGTTAATTTCCACAAGAAATTCTATTGGACTTTTGGTTGAGATTGCATTGAATCTGTAAATCAATTTGAGAAAAGATAAAATTCTAGCTTTATTGAGTATATCAGTCAATAAAGAAAATATATTTATTTAGGCCTTAGTTTATTTCTTTTCTCAATACTTTATAGTTTTCTTTATGTAAATCTTATACCTATTATCTTAGATTTCTAACTAAGCATTTAATACTTTTTGATGCTGATTAATCTATTTTGATGCTGCTATAAGGCACACACCTGTAGTCTCAGCTACTCAGGACACTGAGGCAGTAAAATCACTTGAACCTGGAAAGGAGAGGTTGCAGTGAGCCAAGATGGCACTACTATACTCCAGCCTGGGTGACAGAGTGAGACTCCATCTAAAAAAAAAATCCCCGAGACTAAGTAATTTATAAAGAAAAGAGGTTTAATTGACTCACAGTTCCACATGGTGAGGGAGGTCTCAGGAAACATAATCATGGTGGAAGGTGAAGGGGAAGCAGGCACCTTCTTCACAAGGCGGAAGGAGAGAGATGAAAGCACAGGAGGGAACTGCCAAACACTTTTAAAACCATCAGATCTCGTGAGCATTCACTCACTGTAAGAGAACATCATGGAGGAAACTGCCCCCATGATCCAATCACCCTCCTACCTGTACCCATCGGCATTTCAGATCCCTCCCTCAACATGGGAGTATTATAATTTGAGATGGGATTTGGGTGGGGACATAGTGCAAAACCATATCAGATGCTATTATAAAGGATATTTTTATTTTAATTTCAATTTTCAATAATTCATTGGTAGTATGCAGAAATACATGACTTTGTATTTTGTGACCTATTTAGTAGCTTTTTAAATTAGTTTTTTAGACATTTTCTATGCAGACAATTTTAGTATGCTATTTTTTATGTAGACAATCATGTCTGTGAATAGTTTTATTTCTTCCTTTGTTATCTATATGCCTCTTACATATTTCCCTTGCATTTTAACAGAATTTAGGAACTCCAGTACAATGATCCATAGAAATATTGAGAGTCAACATCATTGCCTTCATCCTTAAGTATCAAGTATGAGACTTACCTGTAATTTTAGCAATAGGGTTTTGTAGATTATAAGGTTAAGAAAGTTCACTTTAATTACTATCTTTCAGAAGGATTTAAAATCACGAATGGAGGTTGAAGTTTGTCAGATACTTTTTTGGCATCTATTGAGATGATCATAAAATTTTTCTTCCATAGTCTAATAATATGGTAAATTATGTTGATTCATTTTTGAAGGTTGAATTGATGTTGCATTTTTGGGATAAACTTCTCTTGATCATAATGTATTATTCTTTTTATATATTGTGAGATTAAATTTGGTATTTTTTGTTGAAGATTTTTACATCTATGTTTATAAGAGATTATTTAGTTTTTGTGTGTTTTATATATATATATATATATATATATATATATGTATATATATATATATGTTTATAAGAGATTCTTTAGTCTTTTTGTGTTTCTTGTATCTTGTACTGTAAAGCTAATATAATCTTACTTTATTCTTGATTCAAATAAATTAAAATAATTAAGCAATTTTGCCCTTTTATAAACATAAAGAACTCTTATTATATTACTTATAATTCTGATGCTGCATACTGGTTACATAAAATCTAATGTACTATAAAATGTATGATGCTAATATTTATGCTCAAACTAATCCTTTTGAAATAAATTGTCTAGTGTTATTTTTATATCAATAAATAAAATTTAATATTGAAAACCAATTTACATGTATTCAGCTTTGTTAAATTTTTTGAGAAGCATTCTGAACTTAAATACTTGATAAATACTTGTAAAGCTTCTGGATTTAAGTTTTAAAATCAAATATCTTATTAGATAAGTTGATACAATTGGCAGTCAGTAAGGGAGATTGATGCAACACACTCTGATTTTGATGAAAATATATGGACTAGAGTAGTTCTATATTTGTCAATAGTCTTTTCTTATTTAGGTTGTCCTGAGGTCATATTTCTTAGGTAACATCTTCCATACAGGACTATACTCTTTTGTTCATTTGGACTCCCAAATGTAGATGAATGTGAGAGCTATTTCTGTTCCTGTGTACATGTGTACATGTCTATATTCATTTTATATATTTTTTATTCATGTGTACATGTCTATATGCATTTTATATCTAGAGAGAAAATACTTCTAGTCTTACATTCTGGCATGCTGTGAATGTTTATATTGTAATGAAAGGACTCAGCCATCATATTCATTGGGCTTGTATTACTTAGGAGTCTTATCATGAAATTGAAAACATATGCAAAAAAATAAATAAATTTTTAGAAGCAGTCAGAATCTTGTTTTCAACCTAAGCTTGTTTAGTCCAAAACACAGACCTGCCTAGAAATTCTAGGGTACAGATTAGTGAGTGTCTACTATAGGCCATTTTGCCAGAGGGATTGAGGATTCTTTGTTGAAGTAATTCACGTGAAGATAATAGATAATAGAAAAAGCAGAAGTACTTAAATTTGATTCAAAGAAAATGGTTGAGGGACATATATAAGGTGTGATTTTTTAGTGTCATATGTTGTTTGCTATTCAGCTTCATCTGCTCTACCCTCAAAAGTGAAACATGAAAAGATGGAGTTGGTTGGGCCTGGTGGCTCATGCCTGTAATCCCAGCACTCTGGGAGGCCAAAGTGCATGGATCACATGAGGTCAGGAGCTCTAGACCAACCTGACCAACATGGTGAAATCCTGTCTCTACTAAATACCAGAAATTAGTCAGGCATGGTGGCACACACCTGTAATCCCAATGACTTGGGAGGCTAAGGCAGGAGAATCACTTGAACCTGGAAGGCGGAGATTGCAGTGAGCCAAAATTGCACCACTGCACTCCAGCCTGGGTGGCAGAGTGGGACTCTGTCAGAAGAAAAACGAGGAAGAAGGAGAAGAGGAGGAGGAAGGAGGAAGGAGAAAGAATGAAAGAGGAGAAGGGAAAGGGGGAGGAGGAGGAGGAGGAAGAAGAAGAAGTTGTCTTTGATAAAATTGAAGGAGCTCTTGAGACACAAGCACTCATCAGAAGACATCCACAGGGAGCCCCAGGCACCATTACTTTGGCACTAATATAATTAAGTCTATTTACTTACCACCCAATAATTTTTTAACATTAAACCCTACTGTGTAACTTTTTGGTCCTACTTATGAAAGTTCATAAAGAGAAATGTCATAAATAAAAGTATTTATGAACTATACAATAACTACTATGGTATAGTTGTAAAACGATGTATTTTGGTTTTGGATATGTTGTTCTTTTTCATACACTAATAAAATGTGTTTGATTTTAGGTTTCCTCAAGAACTGAACATGGGAAAAATAAGTGCCGAAATTATGTGGACTCTTTTTGCTCTGGACATGAAATATGCATTAGAAGGTAATTATAAATGTTTATATTTATTAGAATATATGTTAGAGTTAAATGGTGAGTTTGTGTTCTTGGCTTTAAATGTTAAGAATTAAAACGTTAATTATTGTGATCGGTTTAGTTTTCATATGATAGAAAGATAGGGTCTCAAAGTACTCAAAAAGCCCTCAAGAAGCATACACATTTCTAATTATATGGTCTAAGTTCTGGTATCATAAGAATATTTCACTGATAGGATTATGCTCATATGCAAGAATACTCTATGGTAGTTCGTTTACCAAAACAGGCCATATTGAGGGGGTGGGTGAATATTTAGTCCAGGTATTTGTCTATGTGGACTTGGAAATAGTATCTACAGGGAGGCAGGTCAAAATCCTACCGAGTTTACACAAGAGCAATGGCAGGGGTCTTCACCCAAAACTCCACCTTGAGTAAGTATAAATCATACAATGTAAGAAAGAGAAATACAGCTCTAAGTTAAACAATTCTATAAATATTCTCTGTGCACCCATACTGTGTTTACAGTTAGATATAGAACCATACATCAGGTTACTATCCTCTTGAAACTGACAACCTCATAGAAAACTTTGTTTGTACTTATTCAACAAATATATATTGAGCCCATAGATACTAAATGACCATTGGTGCACTGGATGTAGGGGATGTAACAGTGAACAAGGTAACCCTGGTCCCTACCCTTATCGAGATCATGGAGAAGGACTACAAGAATGCAGACAGTTGCAATATGGAGTGGTGAGGACTAATGATGACAGTGTCTGGAGAAGCACCTACATCAGACCTGGGGCTAGCGGTGAAGGCAAGCTTACTAGAGACTTCCTCTAAGAAAATGTAGCCTTGATAAAGACCTACAGGATAGGTAGGAATAAGAAGAGCTTTTGGTAGAACAGAGCACTAGCAATTAGAGAGAGCGCAAGGGGCATTTGATAAATCAGAGAACTCAGTGGGCCCAATGAGCAAGAAAAGGGTAACAAGAAGTAAGACAGGAGAAATTAACAAGGACAAGCAGACAGGGCCTTGTGGGCCATCATGAGGAGTTTGACACTAAGAAATAAAGTCTCATAAAGGATTTTCAGCAGGTGCTCGTCTTATTTAGATTTGCAACTTAGCAAAATTGTTTTGATTACAAAATGGAAAGTAGGTTGGGAGAGTTAAGACAGGTTTTAGAGAGTTCGTGTTAATCATGCCACTGTTTAATAGCTTTCCTGGACCGAGGTGCAGAGGAAAACATTCAGTTTTTCTTACTCAGAAAAAAAAAAAAAAAGATACACAATGGATCATAATACCTAGTTTTCTGATAAAGTCAAGCTGTCCCACTCACAAATAGAGAGATTTATCTCATCTTTAAAATCACACCAGAACTGCCCAGAGGTACAATTCCTTGCTTTGCAATGAGGTGTTTCTTCTCCAATTTATTAATGACCCAGCCCTTCCTGCCTCTTCCATCTTCGCCTATTAACCACATCCTTTTACATCTCTCTGCTTTCATTATCTCTTTGGGGCCCCAGAATTCTCTTAAATCAGACAAGAACCACCAGTCTACTCAGCAAATACATTTTTTTCAGATAGCATTTACTACCCTAGGCATATACTCTGCATTCTTTCTCCCTTCTTGAAAGCCTATCAGGCATCTGAAAATTTTTAGGGTCGACGTAGATTCTTAATCTCCTCTGTCAGAACCTGTTCTTCCCTCCTGCTCCCTATAGCAGTTATTGGTACCATCATTTATCCAGTGACTTAAGCATGTATGGGTTATCATTGATTTCTTTATTGTCTTCATGATAATAAAAGTTTATTCCTGCATGAGGGATTTTTTGGCCTGCTGCCCTGATGACTGAATTTTTCTTCCAACCAATCTTCATAGGCAGCCATGTGGGGCTCAGCTAACAACACCTCAGAGATTTTTCTCGCCACATTATCTATAATAGCTCCCAGGAATAACTTTACTTTAATCTGCTGCATAGCAACTAATTATATTTTATTTGTTTGTTCATTTGATTATTTCTTATGTGTCTTTTTTGCCACAATGTAATTTTGTCTATGATTCTTACCAACATATCTACATGGTCTATAATGATGCCTCGAAAATAGAAGCTACTCAATAACTACTTGTTGAATAAATAAATTACAAAGCTTACCATGTAATCTCAACTCAGTGGATTAGCGGAAAGGGCAGTAGAGGAGACATCAATTTGTGACCTTCTTTTGCTGTGTGACCTTGGGAACATTTCAAGAGCACATCTTTGTGTTTCACTGTTCTCCCCTTTTGTTTGAGTAGAATAAAATTCAGTACATTTTGAAACATTTAATGTTTTTTTGTATCATACTGTTGTATAAGCCAAATGCTATAGAAAGTTGATAATTAACTTTACCATTTAAGTTGTATTAATCTTAGAGTAAATTTAACTGGGGACTTAGGTACAACTTTGCATGACAGTATTTTTCATATTATCAATGAGTAATAGATCATGATTCAGCATACTTCATATATATTTTGAAGATTAAAATGTTTTAATGTTTTTTAGTGGAATAGACAGTCTTATGAGTGACATTTTCAATTGTATGAGATTGGAGGTTTTTGAGAAAAAAAAAAAAAAGGACTATGTTAACCATGTGTCAGTCCTTAACACAAGCCTGGCATGTAATAGATACTCAATAAATTATGGCTGCATGAAAATCAAAGGTGCACTAAAGCAGTGTGTAAATGAATATATGTGTGTAGATTAGCTACATATTTCAGAATTATTTTCATTTAGATTAGAGCCAGGCTGTTGTACATTGTTAAAATTTCCTATATGTTTTCTAATCCATTCTGTGTTGAGGTACATTGTTCCTCAGTTTAATTGTCCATATGGATATTTGCACAGCAGAATAGTAACACTTAAGCTCATCAGAATGCCCTGTAGCCTCAATCGTTACCCAAAGGCTTTCTAATATATAACAATCTATTTTACATTAGCAAACACAGCCCACAGAACATATGGCAAAACACTGCTTTTACAAGATAGAGTCACAGTTTAGCCATCAAACAGATTTCACAGGCTGGTTAATAAAAATCAGCTGTCAGGCTGTCTAATACAAAGTCTAAAAATATCCCATTAAATCCCCTATGTCATTTTAATGGGGAAATGGAGATCAGTGAGAATAAATGTTGAGAAGCAGGGCAAAACCAAGGTGGACAGATGTGTTTCAGCCCCACCTTCCTCTGCTGGTTCTTCAGGTTTCTTCCCACATTCTGTCTGCCCTGCCCCTTCTTTATCTATATCTTATGAGCACCTGGTGCACTCAGGGTTTGCCAAGAGATGTAACACACAAAAGCGTTTGGAGCGTCCTGGTTATCCCTTCCAAAACATCTGAAATCAAAATAAGGAAATAAACACATTATAATTAAAAACTGGGATGGTGGGGGGGTGGCAAATGCACCCTGCATACACTGATGAGCTAGCTGTGGCCATGTGAGAATAGATATAAAAGACAATAAAATGGAAGCAAGAAATGAAGCATACTGGCATCTGCTTTTCAGAAATTTAGGAGATTTTTGCCTCTTTTCATCTTTACATTGAAGGAGAGCATTGGCGTTAATTCCATTGACCTAAACTGGGAAGCACAAATACTTTTTCACACTTATAGTAAGTGCATTTCATAGGTTCCTCCACTGGCCATTGCCTTCCAACCCGTCCACCCCCCTCCTCCCTTGCAGTTAAGTTGAAACCATTTGTTTTCTATATCTGGAGTGGATAGAGAAGGCAAACTCTGTGTAATTAATCTAAAACCATTCTGACTAAATTATTTGGTTTCTAAATAACGTAAGAAAAATAGACATCTAGGAGTGTTTGTAATGCAATTATTTGGGTACACCTTTGACCATCTACTCAATCACCTTTTTATTATTTCAGTAAAGGATAATTAAAATATGTTTACCTGAGTAATATTCCATGCTCTTTTGATAAAGATGAATACATCAGAATAGGTATGTAATTAACTGGTCAGCCACTTTCTCTGGTGTAACTTAAAAAGTAATCAAATGGTAAGAACAGGGCTAAGCTGACTTTTCAGGCTATGAATGTCATCCCACTTGTAGTACAGGCAAATCTATTTGTTGAACACACAGCTGTGTGTTCTGATGTTATTAGAAGTTCGGTGGCTAATAACTTCAATGACTCTTAAGTCTGTTTTTCTATTATACAACAGTGAGCTTTAGCAGAATCTCACATGAATGGAAGTGAGTTTCCAAAAGCCCACTGAGCTGGTATTAGAATCAGAATATGGAGCATCACCTGTTTAGATATTTTTAATTAATATGTGGCCACCATACAAATAGAACAAAGGTCTTGATGGGTATTTTATCCCTGCCTGAACTCAAGATTCTAGTTTTATCTCATGTAATTCTGCCTCTGGTTTTGAAATAGGGAACAACAGTGGACACTGACATTCAAGGATTTGGTTAAACCCGGTCCTCTGTGCTCCTAGAAAACACTGAGCTTTCTCACATTTCTCATTTGAGTTGGCATTAGAATTTAAGTTTCTTGTTAAGTCAATTCAGAGTCCATGTTGTCATGAATACAGCTGGTCTATAACTGTTGAGCTTGGTACTCACTCAAGTATGACAGCTTTCTTCTTTCTCTCCTAGGTGAGGCCTCAGGAGACTCTAAGGCTGAGACTGGGTTATCTTTTTCTCTCCCTCATGCAGCATACCCACTTTTCCAGCTAATTGTTTTAGTAGCTAATTAGTTTTGGTGAGCTTAAGGGATCTGGTGAACAGATCCCCTGCAGTAACACCAGAATAGTAAAAGAGAAACTCTCAGCTTAGATACCTAAAAAATATAATGTTTAGGATTAGTGTATCAGTTACCTATTATGATATAATGAATTATCCCAAAATATAGTGGCTTGCAACGTATATAAGTAGCTGTTGTTGTATGCTTGGTGGGCTGAAGGACTGCTTTCCTAGGTGCCATAATCCTATGGCTGTCTACAGGAGACCTCTGTTG